CGCTGAACAGGGGGTCATCCTCACAAAACTCCACCCTGCCCCCTGGTGGCAACGGACAGAAAAGCCTCGCTGGGACCGATTGCTTGCTTGCATAAATGAGCCATTTCTCAAAGATCACTTACAAAGCTGTATTTCAATTATACCATATTAACATTGAATCGGACATGATAACTTGGATAAATAATGGCATATCGCATCTTTAATTGGTACGTTTAAAATCTCCCATCAAAAACATAAAAAATAGCTATTTATCTTTGGTAATTTAGTGTTCGTACTAAAGCATAAATGCTGAACAAGAAAGGAAGCAAAAACTACAAACAACGTTTGATGGATTTATTTTCTATTAACCAGAAATTACAGCAGTGTGTGTGTGTGTGTGTGTGTGTGTACATGTACATGCATGTATGTGTGTACAGGTGTGTGTTTCAAGCCTGGTCACTGTGAGTCATCATCACAAGAGAACACTCCGGTGAAAAAAAAGAAGGAATTTCCTGAGGTAACTGTCCTTGACCCGGCTCTTTAATCGAGTGAAATTTCATCACTTTATCTAATATCATGCTTCATGGCTCTGGCTCCCAGCAATTCTATTTTAGTGTGGTCTAATGGGCAGCTGACATATCCAATCAGCACCAGACTGAACAGAATGTGCTGACACGCTGGGAGCACAGTACCCCGTCGAGAGCTGTTTATTTGGACCTGACAAGGGGAAAAATCTCCGTTATTGCCGCCTCTCTCTCCATGTTCTCGGTCTCAGCTTACAGGGCGCCTCGCGGGCTGCGCGTTTCAGGCCCCCATCACGAGGGGTCCAGCTGTTGTGTGTTTTTTTTTACGCTTCGGCAGTGGGCTGGGGGTAGGGGGGTGGGGTGCGAGTGGCCGCACTCGGCAGGGAGGTGCAGGGTGTAAAGCCGGCCGCGGTGTGAAACGCGACGCCCCGCGGGCCCATTATCGAACGTGTCAAAGCGACTGACACCGGAGGAGCCCCCCCCCCAAGCTGGGCGCCTGTCCTGGGGCTCCCTGTTTACAGAACGGTAAAGATAGCCCCCATCCCCAAGCATCTCCGTCTGCTAAGCACTAGCATGTAGCATAATAGCTTGTCCTGAGCCGGATTCCATTCCACCAACATTCATTTCAGCATGTACTTCCCCCCCCCCCCCCGCCATGTCTGTCAATTCCCGCTTAGCCAATGGGCTTACACCAACACCTAAATATAAGCAATGTAACAATGTAACAACATAAAACGACAACAATAAGCGACAACAACTAAAGGGAGAGTAATCAAATAATAGTAATAATAATAATGTTTTTTTTTGTTTCATTACATTGCACAAAATATGCACAACACAAAGTCAGTCGTGCATTGACACAGCACCACCAATTAGCTATTACAAAATGAGTCATCCTGGGCGGGTTGACGGTCCATCGCAGTGTCTGTTCATTATGAGGAAGTGAATGATAACAGGGAACGTGACAGTGAAGGGGGGGGTGGTTACCGCGCTGCAGGTAAAGGATTCCCTGCCTGTTTTTCTGTCACTGCGTTTTGCTTTTAACATGCCAGTAGCTGTGGTTTTTGATGGCAGGTGATTATTAAGTCGAGTCTTCTGGCGACCATCGATCTCTGCACCCTAAATGCTGGATGCCTTCACTCCTATCCTGCTCAGTGTGCATCTTTGTGGTCAACGACTGCTGATGCTAGCTGCCTATTATCTGATTCTTTATTAGCAGATATCTCTGCTGCTCGGCACATTCTCAGATTCTCACAAAATGCAAAGTTGTAAAAAATAGAACACACTAGAAGGTTTGTTAAACTTGACCACCTTCCAGAATAAGAGGTTTTCTTTCTGCACTGTTCTCAATATTTCAATGTATCAGAAACAGAGTTTGATTGGCTGAGAGGAAACTCACCCGATAGGCGTAGTCAGACTAAATGTGGAAGCGTCACTTACAGTACGATATGTCCAGTACCAGTGACTGAAGGTGGGTCAGTTCCTTTTCAACTCGGCACCGTCATGAGCTCATAAGATCATATTGTCAATGTGTCTGGGTGTGTGGGATTGTTCCAACAAGAACTGCTACACAAAGTGGACCTCTTCAACTGTTAATGTGCCTTAGTGCTAGACCAAGGGGCCTTCAGCGATAAACCAATCAGAAATGCAGGTGGGCAGGGAAAGAAGCAGAGCGGCCATTTCCGACGCCATTCACCTTTCAGCAGCCAATGACAGCCATCCAGCATAATGATTAGGACACATCTCCTGTCTCCAGGGCACTTCACACCAAATCAGCTGTTCACAGTTACGGAGCTCCGCTGAACTGCTAAAGGATTTCACAGTTACAGTGGACTCATCGCTAACTGTCGTTGGGCCTGGGGGGGGGGGGGCTGGAGTTAGCTGTTTCTCATTTTAATTTGGAGTGAGTTGTCTAACACAGTATAATAAATGAAAATGAACCAAGAGCACAGAGGCTGGCCCAGGCAGGACAGGGTACAAGGCACAGTGGTGATCAACCACAAGGTGCACACCAAGAGGCCATGGTGAGCTTAGGCAACTCATGGGAGTGTTAATTACACAAAAATGTTCTCAGGGCAGAATGAAAGGTGATTGGTTCAGAGAGATAACCAATCAGATTTTGTAGAGGAAGTGGGCCCAAGTAACTAGAGGAGGTGGGACCAACCAAACAAATGTATTGACCCTGCCTCCTCTAGTCACTTGGGCCCACCTCCTCTACGATCTCTGAACCAATCATCATTCATTCTGCCCTCAGAACATTTTTGTGTAAGCAAAACGTCCACGAGCATTTAGGCATCAGTCAGCCTAAACTGCAGATCTTTGGACTGTGAGAAGAAACCTTAATACCCATAAAAACAGAAAAGCATGGAGAGATCATGCGACCTAAGAGCCAGCGAGGGGATCAGGTGAGCAAGTCAGGAGGAGTGAGGCCGCAGCGCTCGCAAACGAGACACCGGGAAAGCGGTTGAAAATAAACAATGCCCACTGAAGAAGCATTTTCTGCCAGGCAGAAAATTCAGAACACTTCAATTTTTGCAAGTGATTAATCCCTGCGAAATATGTTTCACAGTTTTATCGTGAGAAACATTTTTACCGAGTATTTGTAGGTCATGAAAAAAGTTGCCAGACAGAGCAGGATTTTGTGTTCATGGAAAAAACATCTACGCTCTGTTAAAAAAAAAAAAAAGAAAAGAAAACAATAGACAATCTTTACAGTGGGTGGTTTGGCAGCTGGGCAAGAGGACAGCAAATCAAAGGCAATAAATTGCAAATATTTTACCCAAAAATACCACGTCCTAAACATTATGTCCTCGCAATGCAGATTATTTAACACATTCCTGATAATATCCATGAATGAAAAGCAAAGTATTAATGCATACATTCATTAAGGTGTGAAAACTGCAGCATTACAGCACCTCTGACTATTGTCAGCTGGCTGATGTCTTTTACAAGTTCAACCAATAATAAATCAAGGTCTTTTTTGTCGTTCCTTTTAAGTAAACAGTCTTTCCCGTCAGCTCTGCCTGAATAGGGGGAAAAACAAACACGGCAGCCAATCAAAGAGCTGACATTTGGGGCTGGTGTGGCCGCAGACGGCGCTCCGAACAGGAAGGGCCCGGCGGTAGGGCCCCGGCGTGTTTGAGGGGGCTGTCGGAGCACGTCAGTGTAAACACGGAGGGTCCGACAGTAACAGGCCCTGGGCAAACACATCAAGTGTCACGGTCGCCCTTTTCCCCAGTGGACGGGCGAGCTCCCCCCACCCCCCTCCCCGCCAAGACGTCCCAGACTCTTCCATGGCTGACCTGCAGCTCCTGACATGTTCATTAAAGCCCAGCGTATTCGCATGCGCGCATGTGTACGCCCACGTCTGTGCGGGAGTGTATGTGTGTGTGTGTGTGTGTGTGTGTGTGCGGACTGCAGATCACATGAAGGCGATGACAGCCACAGGACAGCCGAATGAGGGGGGTGGGGGGGGGCTGCGACAGGTGCTTTTTCACTTACGCCACGGGAGTTAATATAGTTTATCATCAAAGTGGATTACGCTCAGGGGAATGTGGGAACCGGAGAGCCGAGTGGCAGATCAAACCCGGGACGCCGTCTGCCTGCCCTCCTTCATCGCTGCCCTTCAACTTGCTGCTATTGTCTGCGTTTGTCTTTTTGCTGCCAGTCATTGGGGTCTTTATGGACCGGAATGTCCCTTCCCAGCCATTATAATATAAGAAACTCCAAGTCCAGTTATGAAACACAGCTATCGATGCAAAAATAATAGCATTAATATATGTCTACAGACTAATATGGCCAAGTAAACAGAAATATACATAATACATTTCCAGCTAGCTGAGGGGCGCTGTGAGGCTTGGAGTGTTAGGACATTGTCTACCATCAGAAGGTTGCCAGTTCAAATCTCCTGGACAACAGAGTGTCGTCACCATTGGGCCCTCAAGCAAGACCCTTAATTGCCAATTGCTATTGGGACTGGCTGACTCAGCTTCCTGAAATGCATGTCATTTTGGATATAAGCAATTATGAATTAAATAAATGTATTTCCAGCTATGTTAAACTGACATTGCACATATATTACAGCATATATTATTATCACTACATTAAGATGGCAGATATCACAATGTTGTCCTATCCAGGCCCTGACCAGCCTTGGATCTATTCTGGGAAGACCCAAACCCATTAGACTAAACCTATTTAAACCTACAGTAGTTAGGACCATGATTAAAGGATGTTATGTGCTTATCCAGCTGTGCCCAGAGGCGATACCGAGGAAGGCCTGAAGGTGGCCCTGCTGAGCGCGGGCTTGGTCTCACATGTGCTATTAATTAGCTGTGCGGAGCCGTTCATCCAAAGCACCTTAAATGAAGGTGCCTCTTAATGCTGCTGGACATTCCCTAGAGCTGTTTTGCAACACACCCTCAAGAGAGACCTAAAAACGTACGCTCTGGCTTTTCATTAATCGCCGGCGTGAGCAAAGTCCACGCAGCAAACAGCTCTGGCCTGAGCAGAAGCTGAGATGGCCGTCACCGAGCTCGTCATCCTGGTGTTAGTGCTCATGTTAGCGCTGGTCAGCGCGGGTAAGGATGCAAAGCGCCCCGTGGCCTTTCCAGCCTGTCTGCCTCTTCCTGCATTCCTCAGCAGACGGTAGCTTAGCTACGACCTCATACTGCTAGTCTGTAGTCTTATAGCTCAGAATCGTCATTTTGAAGCATTGTTTGTTTTTTTTGACCGGCCTGTTATATGCAAGCAAATAATCATTGCGGTTTTGTGAGTGTCTTATCAGTGATCTCCGTCAAGACCAGCTAGCGGTTTAGCGCGAGTGTCACCTCTCCATTCGCAAACATCAATCATGTCCAGGTTCCGAGATTCGAGGCGTGTTTCAGTGGTGTGAATTAAGGCGTGGTGTTACGGTAATGCGATCTCTCCCCTCAACATCCCACAAAACTGCGGGACTAACAATCACAATTAATCACAATTAGAGTATTTTTACCTTCAGTAAAGGTTTATTGGTGAATTTTTGCTGCATATACAAAGGCATATTGCTGGCAGGTAAATGTGCAAGGTAGCCCAAGGTAATCCTGGTTATCCTTTTAAAATCCAACCTGCGCTATCCGAGCAGACTTTCTTTGGTTCTAGGTACACCTAGTGCCTCGACGTCCTTTAAAATTCTGCCTTTTAAAGTAAATCTGTCCCAGCGCATCTGTTCCTGTCTGCCTCAGATACCGAGTGCCCTAAAAACGTGCAGATCCCCAGGGGGGTGGTGCTGTTTCCTGACAAATGCTGGTTGGGCAGCGTGCTGAGGTACAGCTGTCCTCCGGGGACCAGGGCGACCCCGGTGTCCTGGAGGGTGTGCGGGCCGGACGGCAGCTGGAGCGCGATCAGACGGCCCGCGGCCTGTGTCTGTGAGTGCAGCCGCCTGCCAGGCTCCCGCTGTCTCACTGCATACCCCTCCATCTTTCTTTGGCACTCGCGTTGCACTTATCAACAATACTGTAACAACAGAGGCTTTTCTGCTTTTCATTTAGTCGCTTGCAAAACCGGTATGAACAACACCCATCATCCCACACAGGAAAGATTATGCCTCTCTAGCGCCCCCTGTCTTCTTGTTCAAGCGTACTACTGCAGTGGCCCCATCACCCTCGAGAATGGCTGGCTGGCCCCACGACAGACCCGCTACCGCGTCGGCGACGTCGTCCGGTTCCACTGCCAACCAGGTTACCTTCTCTACGGACCCCGCAACATAACCTGCCTCTCCACTGGGAAGTGGAGTGCTCCCCCTGCTGTCTGCGATTCTGGTGGTAAGGAAACAATCGCCCAGGACCAGTGAACCAGCAGTGAACATCACTTGTGTCTCATGTGCAAATGCATCCAAGAAATCGGGCCTGCCCTTTCAATAAGCGTGAGGAACACGCATGTAACACAGTCAAAGCCCGCCAGTGCTTAAGGCAGAATTCATCGGGAAGCCAAACAAAACGCCCCATGTTGCTCCCTTAGAAGTCAGATATTAGGCATTTCTCTCATTATAAACTTACACTAATGTTCTGCTTTATGAGAAATGTTAGCATTTAAAGCATTTGCCCTTCACTTTACAATAACGTACTTTTATGGTCATTTATACTTTAGCCATATCTGAAAATAGTTCCGTTGCTTAGTAATTGAGATAAGGGTGTTGGGATTATTATGCACGCCAGGAGTGTGGGGGGGCATTTAGGAGGAAAAAATGTGTAAGCCATAATTTATGGCAGCCTTTTTTAAGCGCCGTTGTAAATAGAGCATCGCGCGTTCCGTCTATCGCCCTGGCGTACCGTGTGAAATGACGCACTCGCCTCTGCGCGTAAATCCTCTGCACCCACAGGCTCGGCGTGCGAGAACCCCGGCGTGCCCGCGGGGGGGCTGCGGGTGGGGGATCACTTCGGAAGGCACAGACAGGTCCGGTACACCTGCTACAACGGCCTGCTCATGCGGGGGCCCAAACTCAGGACATGCCTGCAAGACGGGAGCTGGTCCGGGATGCAGCCAGTGTGTGAAGGTGCCCAGCCGATACCCGACCCGGTTCCGGCAGAATCCGATACACAGCAGCAGGCACGGTGCAAATGACGGCTGTTTGCTACCGTTTATATTTACAACTTACTTATCCTGTGCAGTTTACAGTGGATCAGGTGGACGACCGGGTGGGTAACTGAGAAGTTGTTTGCTATCAGTTCATGCAGATTTTCTGCCAAAATGACTTCACAGGACCACATGCCTACGACGGCCCGCATGTAATCGCGGAGTACTTCTCCCTGTCTGAACAGGCGCTGCTGAACCCAGAGCAAGGTAGGTGATGTGAGGGGGAATGGGGGGGGGGGGTTGGGGATCAAGAGGGATTCTGCAAAAGGGTGCCCCCAGTTGTTTTTCTTTTTTTTAAAAAAAAAGGGCCCAAATTTGATTTCATTTCAAGACTGGTAGAACAGAACATTTCTTAGCATTTGAGTTTCCATAGAATCCAGCTTGCTTTTCCTATACAGGACTGTGTGTCATTTCCATGCTACAGTAAATTAGCGATGACAGGGCGCTGCATATTTACCCTGAGACCCCGCTGTGAGTCATGCCCGTACTCAGGGTATCTGTGCTTTGCAGACCTGCACCTTTACTTCATTATAAAGGCTTCCAGGAGCGTTGGGGCTGAAAACATGGAAACGGCTTTGGATTTTATGTCCCGGCACAGCAGCCAGGTGAGGGGGGGGTGTTAACAGCATCTGAGCAGACAGCCCGTCTTCTGCCCGCATCTTCTGATGGTTTTGTGACCGTTTCCACCAGCGCTCGCTGCCAGAATGTTCCGGGGAAACACATTCCTCCCTTTCCATAGGATCCGTGTAACTCACTAGGGCGTAAGGTGGGACCCGTCACATGAGATGCTGTCTTCAAACCACACGTTGGCCTCAAGAAGGCTGTCGATGTTCATAGCGGGATCAGAGACTCGAGAGAACAGTGGGCTGCGGTTCGGATGGACGAGCGTGCTCAGGGGGGCGGGGTGCGGTGGGGGGGAGGGGGGGTGGAGCAGAAACGGAGGGACAGCTTGTAGCCCTGGGTTCTCTGTGGTAGGTTGTGGACTTCTCCAGAAAGAGGAAGGCAGAACTGATCATCTTCGGCGAGTCGGCCAGGAGGGTGAAGTATGACGAAGTCGATCACCGTGACTATGAAAGTAAGCGTGGGTCTGAAACTGCCAGACAGCGTTTAAAGGTCTTAATTACTCTGACATGCATCATTCACACAAATCAAATCACCAGCCCTGAGGGTGGCATTAGGTTTTGCTCCAACTCCTTACAGACTTTCAGGAAACCTTTCCTGCAATATAACCCGGTATTCGCTTGTATAATATGAGAAATACTGGGGGCAATATTATGCTTTTTTCATTATATGAGAAATAATAGAAAACCTCAGTGTGGCAGCGGTATCAGAACAGTAAGCATCCATCTGTACAGAATAGCATGAGAGGAATACAAGTTACATATAAGAATAAATATTTTTTTTCAGATATTGATTAATAATTGGAAGCCCATCCTGGCAAAACTTATATCTAAGTTGACTCTTTGAAAGCTGTACAATTGTTAAAAAATGTCTGCCTCCTTTTTACCTTGCTTTGGGCAAAAGTGTCTAAAAATATAAAGTGAACAACCAACAGCTGAGTCTGACAAAAACACATATATTTGGATAAAATTGTATTTATGCATCACACATCCATGCAATAACAATTTCTTAATTAATCTCTCTAAGAATCTCATTAACTTCACCCAATTGTTCAAATTGCCGGTGACAGTTCAGAAGATCCAGCGTCTTCGGGCTGCTTGGCCTGTGACAGTCAAATCCCACCTGTGTCCCAGAATTCCTCAACGGCTCGGCCGTCAATACGGGAGCAGCCCTGCAGCTGGTGCTGAGCCTCATAGAGACTAACCTGAACGTCAGCACCCGAGAGCCGCCAGCCAAGAACATCCTCATCCTCATCACAGACGGTACTGACAAACTCAAGACCCCAAAGTACAACTCATATATTCATCCATTCCAACTGCAGATCCAAACACAAAGACACACAGTAGCAGTGATGATCATAATAGTCTGCTGGAGTTACCCATTTCTGGATATTTTACCAGAAAAATTCAGCTTAATTAATTCAGAAAGGCCCGACATCATGCTCAATTCAGCCATCTGAACCGACGTCTGTAAAAAGGTTTAACCGTGAAGCTGCATAGCGTGAGATGGTCTCACACTACAGTTCATAATCGCTGTGTTTTTATCAGCGATTCGGAGCCATGTAACAAAAAAAGTAACAACAGAAATACTTGCTGAATTATACTGACATAAATGAATCAACCGAGAATAAGATACATGTGAAAGTTGTTCCGTTGTTCTACTGACATTCCGGAACCTGAATGAAGGCCACAGCTACACTCACCTCTTTAAGATGCTCCTATGGAAACACAGCCCTGGGAACCACATGCCAATACAGTAAAATGTTTGTGGCGGTAATCAGCATTATATTAGTGAGTTCTCTAAGAGTAAACCTCATCTCTGACTTTCAGGACGTCACAACATGGGCTCAAGCCCATCCAGTGTTATTCATAAAATGACCAACACTGTTCCCAAGCCGGACGCCAACTTGGGTGAGTGCGGCTCCCTCTAACTTCTACCAAAAATTCCCAGGGGGGGGGGGGGGGGGATGGTATGCTCACCACCGGTGACGACTTGTGAATTCCACAGCAGAAGAGATAGGTACCTCGACAGTGAAATTGGAAGAGCGACCGCCCCAAATGATGTTCAGTCATGCGTTTCCAGAGATCTTCGTGATCGGCATTGGCGGAGCCGCGGAAAGAGACAGCCTGGATACGATAGCATCTCAGAGGGCAGAACCCAGAGCTTTCTACCTCCCAGACTACGACGGGTTGAGCCAGATCGAGGACAAAGGTTACACAGCAGAGCTAGTGTACAGAAGAAGGAACGGTTAAAGTAAAAGATCTGTGCAGACAGTAAATGGTGCAGGCAAATGTCAATTTTAATGTATTACCATTTCCGGCTGCTAATTCGTTTGTAACTGATGTCTGAATAATCACACGTTTAACAGATCACACAATATGTATATTGAATCTAATGGAAAACAGATATTAAGCGGTGAGATGGGAATCCATTAAGAATGGAGACCAAGCCCATACATCTTTGAACTCTGTGTTGCACTCGCAGTGCCGGAGGATGCCTGCGGAGTGAGGGGCCACAGAGAAAGCGGGTTCGAGAGGGTCTTCAGAGGGAGGAACTCGGCAGACCATCAGTGGCCCTGGCAGGCTGCAGTGCTCTACAACGTAAACACAGAACTCAGCGCCGCGCTTACAGGAACCGGCCCCTTTTGGTGACAAACCACCGTGCCCAGCTGAAGAAGAGACTCCGCTACGATCAGTGATGCGTGTCGTCAATAAGGAAATGTGTGGGGGGGGGGGGCTTTCGTGGCACAAGCTTGTCGAGTTACATCATTGACTATGCAGTCGATTCCACACACAAATCGAAGGCGCAGGCTGGGCTTCAGCAGCAGAATTCCGCTCAGGCGTGTCCTATAACCGCAGCTTCACCCGGCCTCCGCACCCCCAAAGCTCCCAGCCCCTGTTTTCCATCTGTCAGCCTTACAGACAGCGGGAATTTTCTAGAACCCTTTGCTGTGAGCAGCTCACAGTTCAATGCTAATTTATTCGGAGAGATGCACTCTGACAAGAGTCACTGCTTTTACGGCTGAATGGCAGCAAAGTCATCAAGCAAACACCTCGACAGAATTATTGCTCCGAACAGTATCTGTTCACCAAAAACATCTCGCTGACTTGTGATTTCAAGTGCCTGTAATCCTGTGTAAGATATTCCCCTTTCTAAGAAACCCTGTGGAGAAGACGGTTATTATTGTAACCAATTATAGATCCTAATTAAACTTTTTCTTGCAGAATATTAGTTTGATCTAACTAGAACATTTAAACTATTGATTATAACTGTCTAGCACCATTGATGCTGTCTCTCTGTGATGAATTTTAATTCAAGGCCTTGTTATGGAAAATGCTCTTATTCTTTTCTGTGATTGGCCTTGCATGGCCTTATCAGTAAAGAACTGCAACCAATCCCACTTGCACAGGGAAGTCGACAGCAAAAGTGCAATAATGCAGGATACTGTCACCTTCATATGTGGGTGTTTCAGAGAATGACCATCCTGGCAGGGTTTAATAGGCCTGTTTGTTCCATCAGGGTCTTTTCATTGCGGGCGGGAGCATCATCTCCAGACAGTGGGTGCTGACAGCCGCGCACGTGCTATTCGGCGGAGAACACCCCGGAAATTTCTCTGTACTCACAGGTCAGCTGAGTATAGCTTGCAGGCTATGGCGCGGTCCTGCTAATGTGTAAACAAGTCAAGCCGCAAACATGAAGAGTCGATAAAGAGCGAACGGAGTTCATCGTGCCGCAGGTGTGAGACACAGGACGAGGGACAAGTCGCCGGTGGGGATCATGAAAGTGGAAAAATATTTCATACATCAGGATTTCAGTGAAACGCAATTTCGCAATGATATCGCTTTACTCAGACTGGAGGAGAAGCTGGACTTCAGCAGCAAGATAAGGCAAGACATATAAACACACACTCACAGACACACACAATTACACTTGCATTTACACTTATACAGCTATAATTAAATATACATATTCTTACATAGTGACACAAACATGTCAACATGAGGATTCACACAGATTAATTAAAGTGTCATATAATTACTGTGCGCCTGTTTCTCTCTCAGACCTGTGTGTCTCCCCTGCACAGCTGCTCTCTCTCACATCCTGCCTCTTCCCTCCCAAAACTGGACTTCACGCTGTCTTTATCAAGGTAAGAACGCGGCCCAGGCCAGCTTCAAGGGGCTGTAAGCTTCGGCGAAGCCTGGGGAGGGTGACCCCAATGCGGTTGGCCAGCCGCCCAGCAGCAGCCTAAGTCTGCCTTTGCTCCCGTCGCGTCTCGCAGATCTCATTCTCACCGGCCGCGGCGGCGAGGATCAGCGCACCGTGAGCGGCGTCGTGACCGGATGGGGGCTCAGTGGTAAAAAACACATTCTGGAAACCAACTTGAAACATGGAAATATTTTGATAAAGGTGAGGCCAGGGTAATGACTATTGATTCTGGGACTGAATTGGGGGAAAGTGCACATCTGTATGAGGAGGGCATTAGACAATCAAGCTGACTGACCGCCTGTCACATGTCACCATGAGGAAATGCTGCTCATCTGGGCCTGAAGCTGGGGCAGAATAAGGTGCAAAGCCAGGGAGGAGGCACAAGAAAAAATAATCAGGGATAATTAAAAATGATTAAAATTCTCATAAAAGTTTGTGATTTTCCAAACAGCAACGGCAGCAGTGCAGAAAGGAGTCAGAAGCCATCAAGGTGCCACTAACTGAAGAGAAGTTCTGTGCCAGAGGAGATGATGGTGTGGACGCCTGCAAAGGTCTCATTGCCTCACCTCCAGGTTTTCCTCTAGGCTGAACTAGACAGGACACAAAGTCAGTGACGTCCGACTCAGTTTGTCCTGGTGGTGGTGGGTGGAGGATGCAAGAAAGATTTTTAAAATCATTTAAATAAAGATTTCATCATTTAAAATAAGTAACACTGTTTAGGGTGCAGTTTCAGGAAAAAAAACACAATAAAAATAACTGATAAAAGGAGTTTATCTGATACAGGACTACAGTCTTCGTTAGGTTTATGTGATGTTGCGATATAAGCATGTAACTGCAGACCAGCAAATGAACATGCAGTGTTATCCACTGTATGAAGGATTCTTATAGTGACCATCATTCCTGATTTTTCCTGCCAGCTGATTCCGGTGGTCCATTTGTCATTAAGAGGAGCAGACGCTGGATTCAGGTAGGTCATGGTCGCCTCATCGCCTGGTCGGGGCTCAGCTTAGACAGGAGGGACCCGGCTGAAACAGTACCCCTCTGCCCTGCCCTGCCGCAGATCGGGATCGTCAGCTACGGCACATCCAGTGTCTGCCAGAACGGCACCATGGGCTTCTACGCCAACGTGGCCAAGCTCATGCCTTGGATCAGGGAAATCGTGGGCCAGGACATGAGATTCACCTGAGAGCGTGAGGCCCGTCCTGGATGCCGACCCACCCCTCTCCCTCTACAGCCCACCCCCCACAAACCACCTGTCAATAACAGATCAATATCAGCCGGCCAGCACAGCCAGCAATATTCATAAATAAAGATGTTCTCGCACCATGAATTTATCGAAAAGGTTAAAATAATGCTCATTCTCCTAGCAGCATTTGCTCCAGCCAATAACGATTTCTTCCTCTCCTCTGTTTCTAATTTTCTTTCACGAGTGAATCGCTTGTTTCTCTGCTCATTTTACAGTTTATAATATGAGATTTTATAGTGAGTAACGACAGAGATGGGAGACGAATGAGAGATGAAAGCGAGGGCAGAGAGCATGCTGGGGATCTGACTGACTTATTAGGATAAACTAATTATCAGCATTAAGGGACGACAGTGTCCATTTATGGGGAAAGTCAGAGGTGGCAACGTTCCTTGGCCCTGTTCCCCCCTCCACATCTGACCAGCGTAAGACAAACTTGGAAATGGATTCCAAGTCCATACTTGTGTAAGCCAGGGATCCCATGCCTCAGGGAGCAGAGTGTGGGGAGTTTTCCAAACATGCCATCTGGAAAGTTCAAATGTCACCTTACCACCAGGCTGCCCTTAAAAGCCGGGGCTCCTGAGTTGGAGGGGGGGTCGGCTGAGCGTCCACATTGGAGTGAAGCATCACTCATGAACCCAGCCGCTACATGCTCAGCCATCTTATGGGGAAAAGATTCAGCCCTGTTGTGATCCTTATATTTCATACTTGGGGGTGTTGAGAGTACCGGGGCTGACTGAAAGCACAGACCATTTGAAAATAGGGGCCTAGATTCTCCTGTTGTGTAAATCAGTGTTTCCGAACCCCTGGACAGTTCACGTTACTGCGAGGGAGCAAAAACATCGATTATCTGCGGGTCTCCGAGGATCAGGTTGGGGAAGACAACCTGGGGTCTTCAGAGGGAGAGACTCTAAACATGGAGAAAAGTATTTTTTTCATAACACTCAACACAAGGTTTTCTTTTCCATCCCAATGAGGACCTTACTTACCATAAGGAGCACTCTGGGATTTAATCATTTGGCAATAACCCCATATCACTAAAACATCTGCAGTTTTACAAGCAATGATAGCATTTTTGGTAAAGAAGAGTTTTTTTTTTTTGACTGTCGCTCCCTTAACGGTGGTTGGAGACCAATGAAAATGCCTGTCGGGGCGGGGCAGGATGGGGGGGGGGGAGGGGGGGGGCACAGGGGCAAGTCTACAATTTATGAAAGAAACCAGAACACATGCTAAAAGAATCAGAGAGCAGACAGGGAAGGGGGTTTTCGGGTGGAGGTGCGGAGCCAGGGAGACGTGCTAATAGGTCCCTTAGGGCAGAATCGTGGTTCCAGGTGATGGAGAAATTAGGGAGAACGTGGCACATGAGGCCATATGCTGGAGAAAGCTTCCCATTTAACAGCGGAACAATCGCAATAAAGGGAAAGCGTCTGCGCTCAGCCCCCGCGCCTCTGTGCGTCACTGTCCTGCCAAAACACTGAGTCCCGTCATAAAATAACCCCAAACCACAAAGCCTCAAACCCGACCGCTTTCAGGAAGTTCTCCCAACATGTGAAATTCGTTTTGGCTATTTTGTTTCGCTGTTGTGTTCTGTTGTTTTGGTAATTCATCATTTGGATGATTTAGGTGGACTGGCACAATAATAATAATAAAAAAAAATGTATTTCCTAATTCAAGTGAGATTAAAGCCACTTTTCCACGAGCCTACCTATTACAATGTATCATTACCTCATACTAGAAACTATGTATTATAATGCAATGATATAACCGACTGTTACTCAAAGTAACACCTGTAAGAAGGAGGAGAGCTTCAGGCTTGACGTGCAAAGCAGATGATGTAACGTACACTGCAGGAGATGACAGGAAGCATGAATTACAAAGAAATCTGGGTAATCCGATCCGGGCCTGACCCTTCTGCCCTAGGCCAGGGCCAGCTAAGCTGTCTAACGTATGTCTAACGCTCAGCATATCTTTACCAGATCTCCTTCATCGACCGGCACAAAGCTGCACCCACTAATGGGAAAGGGGTGTCCGTGTTAAGCGGGGGGGCAGAGAAGCTGAGTAATGGCCAGGGAGGGAGAGCAGAATCCTCAGAGGAGACGTCGATGAAGCAGAATAAGCTCTTCCGCGCTTATTTTGGACAGTGCTCTCTGCGTCTTTTAGTCCAGTCAGCTCCCCCCCCCCCCCCCCCCCCGTCCACCCATTAACACCCCCCCCTCCCCACACGCTGGCCCGGTGACAGCCACGAGCACGGAGGAGCAATCTCAGCAATCGCTCGGAGGGAGGCGTACCTCAGCGAGGCAGCTATCATTTCACCGGGGGTTAACTTAAGTTCACGGGTCCGGCTGGGAAAATAAAAACGTCGGGAGAGAGGACTGCCAGCTCTCGCAGAGGAAGCCTCACCCAGTTACCGTAAATTACAGCCATACGAGCGGCATGGGGGGGATGAGGGCTTGCTGTGAGTCCAATACGTATAAATCAACTTTTACTGTACAGGTGTCAGTGGGCCCCGCAGCCTTGTGGGAGATTATACGGCTGTTATGCTCCCGCGAGAGCGGTCGCTCGTCGCCGGGAATGAATCGCCCAGCCTGGCGCTGGCTTCCGTGGGCCCTTGTGGAAAAAGGAGAGGGGGCCGGCCAGCTAAAAGCAAGCGGGGCTTATAACTAATGCATAAGCAGCGAGTCTCCGCGGAGACAGCCAGGCAGGCAGAAGCCCCCTTTTCACCAGTATCAGAAGAGGTGGGGCAGGAGGCGCAGTAATGATGAAGGAACTAGAGCCATAACTGCCAGCTTTCAGCTACTCCCCGGGAGGGGAAGGGCTGTTGAACCGTTTTTATAAAGGTATTTAACCTGCTGTTTCCGTGTAAATGAACAGCGAGTCGACGAAGAAGAGCAGGACTGTGGATAGAATGAAAAACAGTGCAAAGTGGACCCCCGGAGCTGCAGGCATGTGCGGAGCGTGCCGCAGAATTGCGTCAGACTGCGCAGACAGCACTGATTATTAACGCTCCTGTAGGAATGATGCAACCAGTTTATCGGCGGAGAAACATCGCTGTTGTTCTTATTGTTACTTAAGCGTGGCTGTTTGCCTCGCGCTCTCGTAGTTTGTCACATCGATGTAGGGCAACGACGCCGGCCGATTACTGCGGAAGCCGCAGATGCAAAATCACATGCCCCTCCTCCCCCCGGCGCGGGCGGCTTCCATCTCGTCAAACCACGGCGACAGTGTCGTCACTGTGAAGGCTGGCAGTGCAGTGTTGAGCGGCAGGTGAGCGGGGGGGGGGGGAGCTTTCACATTATCGTCTCGTCCCTCGGGGAAACAGAGAGATCAGAGGAAGATGGGTCACAGCGGGAGAGCAGGAAAAAACTCTCATTAATCCCACGCGGGAAAAAAACGAGTTTAGAACCCCTATTAGACAACATCCCCGTCTTTTTCAAACAGCAAGGCATCATCTTCCTGTTGGAGATCTGAGATGGTAACCAACCATGCACAGAAACTTTACATGAGAAGATATGTTTTTGCTGTTTTTTATCCCTCAGAATGTGAATAGTTTTTGTGCTGAATGTGAATCATGTATTGATATTAAGAGCTGAAAAACGTGTATCGGCAAGCCTATCACCACATGTAAATAGTGGCCGTTTGGAGGACTAAGGCAGAGGGCAGAGTTTTAAGAGGTCAGAGTCTCAGACGCAGTGATACTCGGTCCTCACCGCAGAAACCTACGCACGGGCGGAACCACCACCCGACGGATATGGATCAAACACATCCGGAGCTCCGGACGCTTCCGGGAAGCACGATGCTACCACAGCAGCACCTTTCAGGACACTTGGCCCAATTACTGTTTTCATGTCCCCCAGTGTGCTACAGAGCCTTCGAACTGGGATCCCAGTGGGACCCGATCAAACACGGTCACCTTGCGATGAGCGAAATGCAGGATGAAAGCTGAGCAGCCAGTGTGGCCCCAGCTTTGCTCTGGAGAGCCGCCAGACGATCATGGGTGACATTATGATGGGGAAAAGAGCTTGTGAGGCGTGGAGCCCCCAGCAGTTACACGGGCACACTGAAGGTGCAGCAATGGAGTAAAATGCGTGGGAAGCTAGGCGGATGGGATAAACGCATAAATCAGGAGGAAAACGCTGCTAAATTTAACATTGTGCCATTAGCGGAAAGGGGAAGCACATGTTAAGATCTCCAGACGTCCAAGACCAGATCAGTCCGAGGGAGAAAGAGCTTTACATAATGCTAAAGTTAAATCACACATTTTAGGAATTTTCAGATGGATAATAGTTATTGTTCCCTAATAATGCAGTATCCTTTTATGCAGGTGTATGAATTTCATCCAGTTTTTTCCGAAAAGCCCAGCCAGTTGGGAAGCCTGGCTTAACTCTGATGGTAAATGCACAACAGCTTGACAGGAAGCAGTTCAATGTTTATACAACCCGTACATTGTCCAAACAACATAGAAACCACCCAAAGAGTGTGAGCCGTAGACCAAAAACGCCACATACCCACACCAGCCAAAAGGTGGGAAGTCCGGTGAGAGAAAGACCCCCCCCGACACGAGCCTTTATGACGGCCCAAGGAAGGCGGAGACTCTTAAAACATTAGTTTCCTTTCCCGTTTCTGTCTGAATGTCTCCATGTCTTTTTTTTTTTGTAATTCATTTGTAATTCATCTCAGACTCTTCATTTCTGGCCTCACTTGCATCCCTTTACCACCACAGGACCTGATGAGCCAAACACCATCAGTGGCTAATTTTCAGCAATGCTGGAATAAAAACATTTATTATATATATATATGTAAAATAACACCCGAGTTAAAGCATGAACGTTAGGACATCACTTGAAGTTTGCATAATTTGGCATAATTTCATGCTTAGCCTTGAGGTCTATCCACATAAACTGTCCAATCTGAGTGCTTTAATACTGCTCTATAACATTAGAATATGGAAACTACTGATTTGGAGATTCATCATGAACATTTGATGAAGGCACTATGCGAGTTATGGCAGACAGCATTAGCATCTTCATGGGGTTCATCTTGAGGAACGTGAAGTACAGCAAGTATCACAAGCCCGGGAGCTGGATGGGCGTTAGCGCAACGGTCATCATGGACATGGACAACCTGTGCTACGAGCCGCTCTGGGGATCTTGTCACACAACGGGCAATGCTGCCGGCAGATGGTTTTAATAACCGGCAAATGGAACACATCCTAATATGGTGCCCTTGACCGGCAAGGAGATTAATGCAAAACGGAGTGGCGAACATGCTGTACTTATACCGAAAAGTACTCGTTTTTCATTACCCAACAGGTTAACAAGCGTCTGTGAAATACTGCGAGAATCAGAAAGCTATTCCGTAGCAGTGAAGGATGAAGCGTGCTCTGAACACACCGATAAATGAGTAAAACCATAAAACGCTTTTCTAGTAAACAAGACAGAAAGTCGCTCTCAACAGCCTTAAGTCCTGATTGCTTCTGACATGCCGCTTCCCAGAGTAGAGACATACTTCTACCGGCAGAAGAAAGCGCGAGGTCCTGAGGCCACGTCTCCGTGCCCTCGGCCTGTGGAATAGACATTGCAGGTGTTTTATTTAAAGGCTTGTCATCTCCGGCAGCCCGTGTTGACTTCTGCTCACCCCGAATGCTACCTGCAGATTTATCTCAAGGACCCCTTCAACCGTGGCCTGACTGGCACGTTCAGGGGCTGGACCGTCACTCTTCGGCAGTGTACCTACTTGGCAAAAAATGGCTTGTTCAGGAAATGTGTCGCCAAAGAAATTTAATTTGGGATGAGTAAAATCTCATGCATCAAATCCACAAGCTTCCAGTTTTGTGGTGTGATGTTATACCCAGATTACAGAAATCATCAGTAACACGTTTAGACCTTGGCAGCAACTGTTAGGAGCAATATTTAGTCCATTTTGGCTTCTGATTTTAATGCTAAAATGTTTTAGACAAAGGGACACAGGGAAATTAAGGCTGAGGACCGACCTTGAAGCAAACCAGGAGAATCACAAGAGGACCCACAGTGCTTAAGGGAGCCAGTATTCTCACAGAGCAGGCCAAGCCACCCTTTAAGTATAAATGTCCTGCAATGGGAAAACTTTAAACATTTTAACTAGTTCAATATAATGAAGGAATCTGGTATAAAACTCACTGTATTACACACAGTATCTTTTCACCCGTCTGATATATTTGCCCGATTTTTTATTCAATTTTGAAGCATATTTTATAGAATTTTGCCTCCTGGCTACCCTGATTGGTTTGCAACAAATCTCCAAATAACAGAAATAACAAAAGAAGAAAGAAATTAGCCACACAATCAAAACATCAAATCCTGACTTCCAAGTTGACTTATTTTTTGTAATCCGGGATGCTGCAAGAATTTCAGGAACCTATTCTAATATCGCGGCCTCTTTCTGGTGCTTCTGAACACCGTGGCCCAAGAGAGAGCTAACGGAGAACCCACGGAAGATCCAGGGTCAACAACCGCAGCTGTTCCGGTTCCTTAAGGGCAGAGGTAAGACGTTTCCCTGCAGCCGAGCCTAAGTATTCTTAACTTGGATGCAGTGAGCACATTTCACCAAAACTGCACTGGGGAATCATTACTGTACGTCACAACTCAAAACCCCATTGCAATTAAACACGCGTGCAAAAGAGCACTTCAAGGATCAAGGTAACACCATAGAGGAATTTAATAAATTTAGACACAGACTAGAAAAAACAGACAAAATGCATTTTGTATTAAAGAAACAATAACAACTAGTAACAGGTTGTTTCGTTCAACTGTAAGCGTACATTTTTTTTGTTCTTTTTTTAGTCATAAAATAGTGTCTTAACAATCTATTCAATACCAAAGCAGAACCAGTAGTTCTTACTGGATGACATGTTCCAGAATTGCTACGTACAGTAGAAAACCATAGATGTCTAAACATCATTTAAATGAGTTATGTTATGTATTATGCAGAGGACGGCGGGACCCAGTTATACAGAGCCTGGCACGATACATAGGCTAAGAAATTCTGCTATGATTACACATTCTTACGATTCTGCAAAAGGAAATTTGTAAATTTATGTACAGCTGTTACATGTTAACCTCATGCCCGTTATATGTTAATTAGAACACTTTAGAGATCTGGATGCAGTGATTTTTCTATGTAATTCTCTTTCTTGCAGCCAAATCTCCAATCAAACTTCAGCAATCCTTCTCCACATGAGCTCAAGTTTCAGACTGCACCAAAAGTGGTGATTTATTGGGGGGTGAAAAAAGAAACATAGATCTGGGGAAACACAGAAGCGACAGCTTTGATGGAGTCTCCCCTGCTCATCATTCTCCCTCAAATCAGTTGGTCTCAGCCGACTTTATCAGAGGTTCTTAGATGGAGTTCAGTCATGAATACTGAGCATTCAAGACACTGGTACCTTGAAGAAACGTCCTTTAAAGAACTTATTACAATACAAATGCCCCCACCCATCAGATGCGATGCAGACAAGTGACTGTTTTCAGCCTGAATGTATTTCTAAAATATAAATAGCAACACATATTTTTTATCGTTTTTTTTCTAAAAATCACTTTGGTATTCTACCACTTCCTGCCAAAGTCGGTAAATGTCTTGTACGCATCATTTGAGGGCCACCGCATTTGATCACATCACAAGATGGCCGCCTTTGTTCGTCGCCGACAAGCGCATATTCGCAAAGTCATCGTTTCAGGTCACAAATGAGAGCATTTTGCAGACAGGCAACACGACTCGGTTCACACGGGAATAAAACAATTCACCACAACGAAGAAGTGAGGCACTCACTGCACTGAGGGCACGGCTGCCTCGATGACTGGAAAGAACGCAGAAATTCATCCTCCATGTGAAAGAAACTTTTCTTTTTTTTTATTATTATTACTATTTTTTAATCCTGTTTCTGCTGACTAGGAGTCTAAAGCAAAAGCCATGAACAATCCCGTAACTGTTCCGAAATGCACGCCCTCCACAAGTCATGTGATGTCGCATAAATAGTCGCATAGGTATCAGAAATGCACACAGACGCACGCATGCACGCCCACGCATACACTTACAGATGTGTACGTGTTTGTAATCTATACATACATACCTGTCTGTGCAGCCCAAAAATAATAATAATGAAAAAAATTAAATTAAAATAGAAGAGAAAGTTGGCAGGGACTGGGTTAGGATTATACACACCATGTTTAGTATCAAAATCTGCAAGAGCACCCAAAGACCCTTTGCATTGCGACAACAACACTGAAGATTCGGAGCCAGGGCAGGGTTCATGAGACCGATGGCCGCTTGGGCCTCCTTCCAGGCCACACCGCGGAGACGCCACACGCATACAAACACCGGCAGCATCATCGGGCGGCACCTGAAGGACTGGGACGGCAAAAAGGTGGAATCTCAGCCTCTTATTAGGTTACTTTGTGTTTCGGTGGGCTGCCGGAGGGTTTCCACGACAACGGCCAGAAGCGACATTCCTCTCCAGACGCATCTTTGCGAGATGACGCCGTGTAAGACTCGGTTTGATTTGGAATCCTGTCGGCATCCCGCTGTGGCTTCTGCTCGAAACGGGGCCAGTTTGCGGTTTTACTTGCTCCCCACTGCGGTCTCTGCTCGAAACGGGGTCGTCTTGCGGTTTAACGTGCTCCCCACCGCGGCTTCTGCTCGAAACGGGGCCAGTTTGCGGTTTTACTCGCTCCCCACCGTGGCTTCTGCTCGAAAAGAGGCCGGCTTGCAGTTTACGCAAATCCACCCGTGCTCCTAGAGCCCCTGCAGATGAGTGCAAACTGGGCCCGTAACTCTAGATCCTACTACCAAACGCGGAGAAACACCAAAACCAATACGATATACAGCAGTACCAATATGAACAACTTCATCTATAGCAGCAAAAGGCACTGTACATCAGCAGATCCACACATGGGGTCTTTTAAGCATTCAATACACAGACTGTTCCAGAAAATAAAACAAAAGAAAAAAATAAACAAACAATGTGCTATTTACAGACAACTGCCAAGGAACATGTATCTTCAGGAAAAAATTTAGAAAACAAGTCCTCTGTAAGACATCTGCAGGAAGTTCCAAGCCTGGAGAAGGTGGCGGCCAATCACACGGCTAATCCCCGTCACGTGACGCAGGTCCACCTGGAGTGCTGCTTCTGCTGTTTTGCGGCCGTCTTCTTCCGTTTATCTCCCCACATAGACATGGAGACCAATCAATCCCCTCTCCTCCATTGCAGGCAGAGCAATCAATCTCTGTTCTCCGATCCACACGGGGGGCTAATCGATGCCCGCTCCCCTGTCTGCAGGGAGACCAGTCGATTCCAGAACCCCCCCTGCCGTCCTCCAAGGTGCCGTCTGGACTCTGTGAAAAGGGAAGGTAATCCGGCTCCGTCTGGCCCAGCTCTCTAAACGTTTCGCCTGCACATGGTGTTGGTGCTTTCCTCCACATCTGGGGATGGACGACTGCTGAAAACCTGCAAGTTGGGCAGGGAGAGTGATTAGCTACCACTTACAAAACTGACCAAAAGCCACCATGTTTCATTGCATCCATCTCTACTAGTTAAACAGCCTTCATGCTCTACTACTGGTAGCTCATTACCACCGGAGAGGCAAGAACAGCATGTAGCTGAAATGTCCCTCAGACACAGTGACCTGTTACACACTGACAATACAGCTTGTATGTGTGTAGTTTCTGTATAACAACAGAGCACTGATACACACACCAGGGCTCACAACGCACTTGATGCCTGAGAGTGTGCGGGAAATCAGCGCGTTCGGCGTGACAGTCCGCTGGGCGCCGTCTTTCCAGATGCCCACGGAAGCATTCATTATCGCGCTCCTAATTGTACGAATCTCCAGCCGCCATACTGGCAAAGCCGATGTTATTACAGCGGTGAAATGCTTCACTTACAGAAATACCCTTTCAGCTCGCACTAATCATCTCTTTCCCATTGTTGTACTAGATGTTCGCTGTCACTGTAATTGCTTTAACCTTTATTCAGTTCAAAATTCATTTCATGAAAGTTAAAGAGCAAATGTGAGATTGTTATATATAAATGGATGTGGCTGGAAAGATTTTTCAAATGGTAATTTACTTTCCAGAACTGACTGAATCTGGTAAGCTGTCATGTAAATTTGGCTCTTCGTATGTGGCAAGCAGTAATTAGCACGTGGTAAACAAGTAGACATCTATCTCTGCTCTCTCTTGTGCTATATACTGTTATTCGGGGCATTTTGTGTGCGTCTGCTTAAGACTCCAACCAGCAACTGAGATTTAGGGGTGCAAAACTGTTTATCCTCCGTTACCTTTGGAAAACAGTCCCGAGGTAACTTAATATAGACAGAGGCTTACACAAAGCAAGTTCATATGTGAAACTGGGGGAAAATGTCATCTGATTTTCATTCTGTTGGGATGAACCTGAAGAAAGAGATATACATGCAAATGTCCTTCTGTGTGTGTGTGCGTGCGTACATGTGTGCATGAGCGTGTGTGTGCGTGTGTGTGTGTGCGCGTGTGCATGAGCGTGTGTGCATGAGCGTGTGTGTGTGCGTGTGTGCATGAGCGTGTGTGTGCGTGTGTGTGTGCATGAGCGTGTGTGTGCGTGTAGCACAGGCCCCACTTGCAGACGTACCTTCCCAGTGGGCTGAGGCCTCACACAGATGTGTGCAGTTCCACTGAAACACTCATTTAAAAAAAAAAGAAAAAAAGTCCTTTATAAATAAATAGCTTAAAGCCGCTGTACAAAGCCAAAAGGGGTTCGTTTCCAGGCCGAAGGAACCGGCTCTCCTCGCCTCTGAATCAGAGTGTGAAAAATTTGGTATGGCGAGTGACGGGCCCAGGGTAATGTCGTGGGGATTGGGGGGGGCGGGGCCTCGTGGGGACCGGTGTATCTGCCAGTCGGTCCGCGCTGAAGGAAAAGTTGGGTCTTATAGAAACAAATATAACAAAGTGCTTTGACGGGGCTTCTGTTGTCTTCAGTTGTAACTCCTCCCCCCCACCCTCCCACCCCCACCTCCCTGCCTGTCTAATAAATAACTTCATAGACTGTGGCTTTCTTGTCCCCGGAGCCCGTGACGATGTATTTGTCATCGACGGAGATGTCACAGCTCAGCACGGAGGACGACTCCTTGGACTGGAAGGGAGAGAGGAAAATATATCAGTCTCGTGGGGAGGGGGGGTTACACGTCTGTGCTGCATTTGTCCAGACTTCAGCATTCAAAGAGCTTAAACAGCAACACATGGTGAGAAACCCTATCTCTGTCCAGACAGAGCGGGCGTGTGACCGGCCTGCCAGAAATAAATGATTTAATAGACTATTTTCTTAGTGGTCGCTGGCAAAGCCGGCCCTTTAAATTCAGCACGTTCAAAACGACCCGTGATTCCTGGCAGAGGGGGGAAAGTGGTCTCAAACAAGAGTAAAGCAGAAACACAGATAATCCCAGCCCCCGTCACGGGCCCCTCCTGTCCCCTCGCTCGCGTGCTGCAGTCTCCCTCGGACAGAAGGACTCATCTTAATCTTCTCTCGCCTGCATGCATAGGAGTACTTCTCAGTTCACTTAAGATGGTGGTGATTGTCCCTAAGCGCTGACATCCTGAAGAACGTGGATAAGTATGCCGTACAAGGCACTTCATAATCTTCCTTGAAAAACTTAAGACAACTTAATCGGAATAATGACTATCGGAGGTTCACTCGGCCAGCTAAAACAGTTTCGGTAATTATTTAGTTTAAAACTACACATCCATCATCCAGACCACTCATCAAGTGCCATTTCATGGAGAGGCATGCAAATTCACCACACACTGAGCTGGGGGTAGAAACCGAACCCCCAGACCTACAAGTATGGGCTACAGTCCTACCCAGTGATTCAATGTGCAGCCACTACCTCACCAGCTTCCCAGTAAATACCTACAAAACTGAATCAAATTAGTTCACTAGGCTGCCTAGTGATGAAAATAAAAAAGAAAACATTAAAACATACCACAGTGGGCAGAGAAGCACATTCTGTTTCTGTTAGCAGCATACAGTTTCGTAACATGGATCTATAAATGATCATTCTCTTCACTTAGATTGCATCATGTGCTAGTTTTTCCCTACATGATTAAATGATGTGCCTGTACCAGCTCCTTATACAGCACTGGCTCTTAGCTGGGATACACCAGCTCCTTATACAGCACTGGCTCTTAGCTGGGACACACTAGTTCCTTATATAGCCATGGTTCTTACCTGGAATATACTGGCTCCATACGGTGTCCTCCAGGCATTAAGGAGGTTGTCCTTCCCAGTGCTAACAAACCATTTACCTGTGAAAAGTCAGACAAAACAGGGATCTCGTTACCACACAATTCTTCCGCAAGTTAATCGCACATCGGAGCCAAGCAGGGTCTGCTGCAGAGCTTTCCACTCACACACAGTAATTATGCCTCTGAGGCAAAAGAAGACCGTTGTGCTAATATGGAGAAGAGCAGGATGCAGGCTGGTTGCGATGGAGAAGGACCGCTAGCAGCAAGCAGCTCAAAATAAGTGCCCATATCCAGATTTATTAGGTTTTTGGAGCGTGAGGATTAAACAGCAGGTTCTTTGGGCAGCTGGAGTAGTGACCAGTACCAAGGTCACGCAGCACCCTACACATTAGCAATGTGATAACTTCTATGAAGCATTGGACCCGACATCTGGGTACCTGTCACACAAATCCCATGTGACTTCCCAGGGGTGACCTAACGCAGTCATCTGCATGCCCAACATTCTGGAGTACAAGCCAGCTTCAGATGGGAGCAGATTGGTGTGGAGCAGTCCAGCGAGATTTCCAGAACAGATGCATTACGAGAGTGATGGAGTCTAAGGGGGACCATGGTTTGTCACAGTGACAGAGTCTGTCTTTTGTAGGGAGTCGTCCCTATCCAGTGCCCGCCCAAGAGCTGCTTGGAGCAGCGGCGAGACCGAAGGGCATCCTCTCTGAGCACAAGGTGCCGATCTCCCTCTAGAACTTGTGGTGAACATTAGGGAGCCCATGAAGCCCTTTCTGTTGCAGTCAGACAGTGTTTTTGGAGCAGCCCCGCGGTACGTACTGGAGTGTTTCACACCAACTTGCGCGGATTACCGGGAATTACTGTTATCTCTATGGGGAGAAGAGAAGAGGCTAAGCTGTGATTTGCGGAAGCCGCAGCGGCGCTTAGTTCCGACATCGTCCCTACAAACTCTACTCCGACTCCAGCCTTTGATCAGGGGAAATCGGAGCCCCTTGATGGCGGTAAACATCCAGCCTGTGCGACTCATTTACTGATGATAACGAGTTAATCCAATCAACTGCGCGTCAACAGGGCCCTGCCAGCCCCTCAATTACCATTCTTGTCCCCGCACTACCATCGCCATGACAACCGCTGGTGTTGTCCCCACCCACCCAAGCACCCCTGGGGCCAACAGGAGGGTGGCTGGGCCTCACTTAAAGCCTGGTAATGAAGGCATGATACTGAAAACAACACCACTGCCTGCAATGCTGCGCAAGCCGCTCAGGACCCGTCAAACATGTCACCGAGTCAAGCCCGCAACAGAGCCATGGCAACGGAAATGTGCGAGCAATGCCCGAAGCGATGGAAAAAGGCATACTTGTCAGAAAATTTGTGAAAGGTTGTGAAAATAAGCAAATAATTAGGCTAGAGTTGCTCTTAAACGACGCATAAGCTAAAACGGCAAGTAACTGTTTTCACTGCCAAACCATAGTCCAATCACACAAATACAATGTAACAATAGAGCTGGTGCATTAAACTACCAACCAGAATCCAATTACAGGACGTGGATGAGTCCATTAAGTGAGTTTAGGTAGGCTTTGCTTTTCCACCAGTTCACAGTCACAGTGTATGGGCTTGTTTTCTTTGAGATATACCTGATCAGGGAAGCTACGATAAGCGTTAAATCCCACAAAAACAAACTGCAGCCCACATTCAGGACAGAGTATAGCGCTGACTGCACCTCTCATTAAAGCAAGAGCACTTACTGTACACTGACCATAAGTCAATAATCAACCGTGTTACTCGAGCTGTTTAGGTAAGTAAGTAAGTAAAGTTTATTTATATAGCGCCTTTCACAGACAAAAAGTCACAAAGCGCTTTACATACATTAAACAAAAAGCTTTATCTGGAAGAGTCACGGGATCTTACCACAGTGGGCAAACTTGAGGGACAGCACACAGCTCTCGTGCAGGTGCAGCTGGTACTTGTCCGGCTTGGTGACGTGCAGGACCTCCACGTTGCTGTTCTCCATGCCCACGGCCAGCCACTCGCCGGTGGGACAGTAGCCCAGGGAGAAGATCTAGAGATGATTTCAGAGTGTGAAGAAAAACGTTAGCAGGAACCATGGCAAAGCGTGACCGACAGAGCATCCAACGCGACCTACTGAGAGGCCATGACAGCTTTTCTACAGAAACACTGGGGTGTTTTAGATGAACCCCCAATGGTGAAGACCCATCAGTCTTGACCATTGATGAACTAACCAAATACTCAGTCTACAAATGTAGGTTGATCTCTCTACCAAACTTTGAGGTAAAGTGGGGGGGCCAGGGCGTGTGAGGGGACGGGGCCCTACCTGGGAGGTGAAGTCGTGCTGCTGGAGCTGCCGGCCCTCCCTCAGGTCCCAGGAGCGCACCGTGTTGTCCAGGCCCCCCGTCCACAGCTTGGTGCCGTCGTTGGAAATGTCGATGCAGCTGGCTCCGTCCGTGTGGCCCTGAAACTGCCTGATTTCGCACAAAGAAAAATCTTAACGACGCTTAATGAAAAACCCTTTGCTATGTATTATAAGAAATTAAGGGGATTTTTCTTCCCGCATTTGTAAACAGCAACAGAAAAAAACAGCAACCTAAAGCTTTTACAGAGTGTAGCTATTCCTCCATTAGTTAACTGCAAATACTGAAATTTAACTTAGATCTATATTTTAAATTAAACTGCATGTTTACAATATCTGGCCTCTGTGGAAAAACCTTAGAAGTTCATATTTTTGTAAGAAACTGTGCAGAGGTCACCTTGACCTCATGGTGTACAAAAATAGGACATGCCAAAAAGTATTGTGGGCAGGGCCGGATCTTCAGGGGCCCTAGGCAGGCACACAGCCAGAAATAATTTTTTTGGGGGGGGGGGGGGGGGTGGGTGGGTCCCCTCCATATGTTTCAGTAACCAGGTAGGGGGGGTTGGGTTTTCCTCACAGATTTTGCCAGCCCCGAGTGTGGAAAGGCCACAGGATCCGCCACGCTCTCACCTGACCAGGGTCTGGTTGTGCAGGTCCCACACGGCGATGTTGCCGTCGCTGCAGCAGGAGAAGCAGACTTTGGAGTCGGGGCTGATGGCCAAGGCGTAGCAGGCGGGGGCCGAGGACGTGAGCTCCGCCTTGATGCGCGGGGTGGGGGCGGCCAGGTCCCAGATGGACAGGGTGCTGGCCTCGCCGCCCACGATCAGGGTGCGGCCGTCGGGAAGGAGTCGGCAGGACCGGATGTAGTTATCCCTGTTCTGTGGAGATGGAAACCTTTGTCAGTCACTCTCAAGGGGGGACAGGAGTCCATAGCATTACAGTTATACCTCATACCCTTAATGACCGAATCCCATTAAAGCGAATGATGGATTAAATGAACGTTGGCCAAGTATCCAAAAGGAAATGTTTATGCGCACAGACTAATATATAAAACCCACCATTTATACACACGCAGGATAATTTAAAAAGAAAACGTGTACACACACTACACAGTATATAACGAGCATGTAAATAATATTTAATTACACTTTTGCACAGTAAGAATTTCAGCCTTAATTATCACTGCAGAGCAAAGACCAAAGGCAAGAAGGTACCACGCGGTTAACCTGCTAATAGACTAGAACGGAGAATACAAAGAGAAGCTGATTAAATATTAAAGTGAACAAGTGGGGCTTGTTTGAACGCAGCCGTGGAATTCATTCGCAAAAGCAAACCTTTTGTCGCCCTGCCGGCTGGGTGCACACAGAGAACATCGGAAAACGGGTCACAGGTTCTTTGTGAGCACCCAAAAACGCACAGTGTCAGCCTGGCGCTCTGTCCCCACGGCGATCCTGCGCCGAGCAAAGCCTGCTCTCCTGTCCGTGAGCTCGGTATACTCGCTATGTCACATGAAGACCTTCAACCAGAAGCACACATCCGGCCCTCAAATCATTCTGGCTGTTCATTATGAATCATCCACTGAATTCCTGTCAATCGCGGAATGACCCCTCCCCTCCTCTCCCCCCCCCCGTCACGCAAAGACCCCCCACGCTTAAAGCTCTGCCAGGTCAGTGCCAATCAGGGTGCCTTTGTCCCCGCTGTTCCTTTCCCTTGACTCTGCAAGGAACCAGCACCGGTTCCTGAATGACTATGACCCCCCCCCCCATCATCCCCCCAATATTCACTCTCACAATTTCACAATTTTTGGCATCTAGTAAGATCTTAACAAGATGGGCCTGGATATTCAAGAGAACGTCAAGGTGAACAAGGGGAAAGAAGGCAACGAGAGAAATTAAAAAGTAATAAAGAAAAAACAAACTAGACCCAGCGTGAATCAATCCAAGGTTTCCCCAAACTGAAAGCAGCCAGGAAAAGGTCACCCAACGTCACAGGCGTCACTGAAAGGCCATGACGTCCGCTTTGAAGGGACAGGCATCTTGCTTTCATCCCTGACTTCCTGCTCCCCTGTCACCCCAAATCACAGCATGGGGGGTGGGGGGGAGTAAACAGGATTCTGCTTTTTTTTTTTGAATGCATATCCCAGCCAGCAGGTGGCGCAATGGCCGAGGAACCAGAATCACATGCGAGGCTGAATGTTCAAATGAGTTACAACACCTGCTGTATCCCTCACAGAAGGGTGGTCTGAACTTGAATGGCTTCTCTAAATACTGATAGAAATGGACTGAAGGTTGAGGAAGTAGCCCCAGCACGTGCTCTGCTGTGAGGAATCGTCCTCCACTCACCAGGCAGTCGAGCTGGGATACGGGGCTCTTGTTGCCAGGGTGACTGATGTCCCAGACCTTGACGCAGCCCTTGCCGCCCGTGTAGACGTGCCGGGTGGGGTTGCTGATGGTGACGGCGCACACCACCTCGCCGTGGCTCAGCGTGTTGATCTGGCGGGCGTGCCGTGGGATGCCTGGGCCAATCAGGGCGTCGGGGGGGAAGGGCACGGGCTGCATCTGCCCGTCGGCGCTCACGTGGAAGGAGTAGGCCCTGGGGAGGGATGAGGGACAGGGTGGGAAGTGTGTTAGTAAGTGTGTGTGTGCGTCTGTGCGTGCGTGCGTGCGTGTGCATGTGTGTGTGCGCGTGTGTGTGTGTGAGTCAAATGCCCCAGCTATGGTCGGCCTCCCTCACCCACAACCTCTGACCTCTGGTAATCCACTTCATTATTAGAGCCAGTGTAGCACTGTTTGCTAATTCATTAAGAACATCATTTAAATAATCTGAAGTAACTAATATGAGCCAAGCTCAACACTCGAGCAGATGCCTTAGTGCAGGGATCCCTGCTCAACCATCATATAAATACTGCATCCCAGGTCGGCCTGAGCGGTCGGGCTATTGGCTGTGCTAATCACCTCCCTGCTGGCTGCAGCTCGGCCTGGGAGCTCGGCTCACAGCCTAAAGGGAACCTGAGGACCGGCCAGAACCCACACTATAAACACATGCACACACACATTTGTATTCATATCTTTGTGGGGACCATTTCTATGGAAAAAACCCTAATCCAAACAATGACAATATTAACACCCACCCAGCCCTAAGCTTAACCATAAACAACCAAACAAAATACAAGACTTTTGGAAGTTTTAGTTTTTTTATTGCAGTCACAGACATTTATAAAATTGAGTTTCCCCTTCTGGGGACCAAAAAATGATCGGTACAATGTCAACGCAACAGGGTTTTATCACATTGTGGAGACACACAGACACACACACGCACACTTTAATATGATCCATAATGGCACAAAACCTGCAAAATATATTCAAGTATCACTCATTTTATAGACACTTATTCAGCAGAGGGCTAAGTCACATTCAAAACTGACCATTTTATTTACTTTTTTAAAAGCTACTTTAAAATTTACCTTAAAAGTACACACACCTGCAGACCCTCGGCCTACAGCACACACACACGGACAGACGGACACACACACACAGAGCTAGGTACTCCATGCTTGCCAGCCATATTTTCCCAGGATCCCATTCCGGAAACAAGGAGCATCAGGGCTTACGTACGGTTTTCCGCCTGGGATGCCGGAGAGATTGGGAGGGATGCCGGGAACACGCATGTGATGATGCGGGTCGAAGCCAACCTGTCCAGGACCAAAACCATCAAGAGAGTCAGTTTACGGCCTTTTCATTCCGGATAATTCCGCTGCAGAGCCCTAACCTGAGACAATTATTGTGTAGAATTAAAGACCATGTGACCTGTGGCGTGCGTACTAGTGCGTATAGCAGCAAAAAGAACACCCGTAATGTTTAAAACAGCAAGCATTTGTCCGCCATGGGGGGACTAGTGCCGGTTTTAATCGGACTTTTAGATCAGAGTGTCTGCTGCTGAGCTACGGCCAGACAAGCCTCTGTGACACTGCCAATTCCACAATATATACACCCTTTTTAAAAATCCATTCCAAAAATGATATATTTTATGTATTTGCGTTTGAGATTAGAAATCCAGCCGGCGGGCCAGCTCTGTAAGCACAGGGAGTTTTACGTGCGCCGGGAGAAACATTATCCCAAAGCCTTTCGCCTCCCCTCTGGTGATGGTTTTTGGCCCACAAATGAACCGTGAATTCCGTGGCTGAGCTACAGAGGGGATCTTCTCTTCTGCAAGCCCCAACCCCCCCCCCCCCCCCTCTAGATTTTTCAGTTGGTTTCTTCTGGGATCCAGCTTGACAAATGGGGGCATACCATATTTTGAGCCTGCCATAGGGAAGGGGTTTAGGTAGTGCTTGTGACTGCAGGAGGGCATGCTTGTGCGGTATAATGCTTGAGGCTGGGATGTTTAAAAAAAATAAAAAATAAAAAAAATCTAAGACACGGTGGAGCGTACCATCATCTGTGGCGAGGGGAAGTCTCTGTAACGTACCACTTGTGAGCGGCCATAGGCTGCTGCCGCAGCAGCCGCGGCTGCCGCTGCGCTCATCTGAGGAGAGATGTTGTGGAGGCCGGCGTAGGCGGCCCCCGGGCTGGTCAGGTCCCCATTCATGCCGGCGTGGGGCACTATGCCAAAGGGAGCGGGGTAGGGGCAGGGCACGGCCATCGGGGTACGGAGGCCAGGCACTGGGTGAAGGAAAAAGCAGGCCGACGATTAGTGACCTGCAGCTGCATTTAATTTAACAAGTAGGCAGTTTCACTGCATATTTATACAGTTTTTGGCATCTAGTAAGTCTTAACAAGAGGTGGTGCGTTAAATTCTTGCTAGACATCAGTAAGAAGAGGAAAGAATCTGACAAGCTGAATTTCAGGTTTTTACTCCTTACTAAAAGAAAGCTGTAAAAGTGCTATAATGGAAATAAGGCATAAAATCAGGCAGGGGTATAAGCGTGTCGGAGGCGTGTGCCGGCGAAGGCGTGTGCCGGCGAAGGCGTGTGCCCGCCCGCGGGCCGCAGTAGGGAGGTCCCCCGGGATCATTAGCCGTGCCGGAGCAGTGGAGCAGAGGCCGGTGGTAATGAGCTGTCTAACCCTCCTGGAGGCGCCGCTGACCACGGCGGGCATCACGCCGGGCTCATGACACGAGCGGGGACCCCAGGACAAAGGCCCCAGGAGGCGAGCGCTCACTGTCAGGGCACCCCAGGCCCTCGGTGCATATTTAAGGGGCCCGCATACGTCACGGGGGCCGGGTCGGGATTCACCCGCTTCCACAAGCCGCAGTCACCAGGAGCCACATATTCGATCCATGGGACAAAGTTTCCAAAAGTGAGCACAGAACCCCCCCACCCCACCCCGGATAAAGTGCAGTTCAGAGGAGGAGCATAATGGCAAGGAGGTTGTGTGTGTGTGTGTGTGTGCGCGTGTGTGTGTGTGTGCGTGCGTGTGTGCGCGTGTGTGTGTGCGTGTGTGTGCGTGTGTGTGCGTGCGTGCGTGCGTGTGTGCGCGTGTGTGTGTGCGTGTGTGTGCGTGTGTGTGCGTGTGTGCGTGCGTGTGTGCGCGTGTGTGTGTGCGTGTGTGTGTGCGTGCGTGTGTGTGTGCGTGTGTGTGCGTGTGCGCGAGGGAGGCTTACCCAGAGGATCTACCCCCGGGGGTTTTCCAGGTACCCCCCTCAGGCTGCTGGCGGAGTTGCTCCCTGGGGTAGTGGCATCAGACCGTGGAGTAGGAGTGCTCGACTTTGACACAGGGGTAGTGGACTTCTCGTTCTGGGGGGGGGATGGACATTAACATCCATCAGACAAGCAAAACAACCCACACACCTGAATGTACAACAGGTAGCACAAGTATCGGGGAGATGGCACTAGGTAGGCAGGCCATGCTCAGAATCACCCAATCAGGATCTCTGTATTATTCAAAGGACCCACCAGGCTGAGCTCTTTGGATTTAGAAGAGGGCGTGCTACTGGAGGAAGCAATGGAGGCGGGGCTGATGGGCGCGTCCTTCTTCATCAGCCGACTCTTGTCCAATCCATTTTCCCTGGGGGAGTGGGCAGGACTCCCTCGCGGGGATGCAGGGTCCTGCATCGGAGAGTGTTACATTTGCTCACAGGGGGTGGACAGAAATCACTTTGCATGACATCATTTGCCGGTGCTCATAGATACGCCCCTCCCCCCCGATCTGCATGCAGTTGGATCCCCGACACTGCGTGTTGATATGGTAGCATGAATATGCATGGGCGCCTGTTATCTGGCCCCTCTGCCAGGGCAGGTGTTTGCCGCCACATGACACGGAGCCTCCGAGCATCCAACAGGAGGCGCCCTTCGCACCCCGTGCTCTGCCGCCAAGAAGGCATCCTACACCATGCCACTTCCTCTTAGCGCCCTCCCTCCCTCCCTCACTCCACACACTCACACGCTCCTCTTCTCCATTCAGTACAGCTTTCCCCCCATTTCCCTCCCATACCCTGCCACCAGAGGCTATAATCCCATTCTACCTCATTGGACACGTCCACCACCAGGTTGTCGTCGCTCTTCTCCCCGTCACTGTCCTAAGAATTGCAAAGAGATGGGGTTGGGGGGGGGGTCAGTGGATGACTCATCCTTATTTCATGGTGACGCATTCAGTATGTTCACATGGAAAGTGGCGGCTGCAGACTGTGTTTTCCTGCTTACTGCGCGGCTTGGCATCTCTATTCCCCTTCTACACCTCGCCCCCACTCCCGCCCCCACCCCCAGCACAGGCTGCCAGCCACACACCCCTCCCCAATCTTACATAGCGGGTTGCCAGGTCCTTGTCTTCAGTCTTCTGCTTCTTACTCTCGGATGAGTAGTCAGTGGAGTTGCGGTGCTTCTCCGAGGCTCGGAAGCTGGCCGATGGCGACACAGAGGAGCTCTGCAGAAATGGGGCCGAGGTCAGTGTCTCGCCAGAAGGTCAGCGCCTACTCACACATTCCAGCCGGCCGGACAAAGGGACCTTTTAGGCCCTTTCTTAAGAATGCATCGATTTAGGACGACAGCAGCAGAGGACCTCGGCTGGTCACCCAGGAGGTGCTGTCCTCACCCAGCGCTTGGCTCTACAAACGGGGAAGGCAAAGCCAGCCTCGAGAAGAGCCTCCCCCCCCCCCCCGAGACGGGATATTACAGCACCGGGCATGGGGGAGATTAATGTGAGCGATCGTGGAGTACAGAAACCCACCTCTGGTATGAACATGGCTACCGTGACCACAAACAATATCTTTGAGGAGATTTCTGGGAGAGAGGGGCTTATACAGCTGGGGGCCCTGGGAGAGCCAGCCTTGCCCAGCAGAGCTGCACCTCAGAGGCCCAGCTTTGGCACGCCGTTTGAGCGTCGGCGCCTGAAGCAGACACTCGCTCTGATGGACAGGCTGAGGCAGCGGACCAGAAAGAAACCCTACCGCTTCAATTCTTGTCCCGCATTCTTCCGGGACGGTGCGTGGACAAGCTGTTCTGAGGCCCAGACCGACTGAAACTCTTCCCTTGTTTCCTCGGTGCGTAATTAAACACCTCAGAGGGCCTGGCCGCTAACTCAATGTGGAAGAATTAGCTGATCACATTAAATGCGACACAGAAGAGCCTCTCAGATGTAATGAGGACAAAGCCACTTGATATGAGCACTGTGTCCTCCCGCGGTCCTCAACAACCTCTAATGCATCCAGCCAGCCAGGAAATCCTACACGGCGTTGAGGTCCCAGCCAGGGAGTGATGCCCCCCCTCGGCAGGTATTCAGACAGCCCACCGATGGTCCCCCGCCATGGATAACCCGTCACCGATTGGGCAGTCCAGTGGCTGTGACGGCCAGCAGTGCAGCCGGGGCCTCTCTAATGGCCCGGGAGCTCCAGCCTAATAATGGGCCGGGCGCCGCTCCCCCTTCCCCTCGTTACTCCCGTCTCTCTCCTCCGTCTCCGCGCTCCCCCGCGGCTCTGATAGCGGAGGTAATTACTGAGGAGGCTGACAGTGTGTAATTGGGCTGGGAGCCAACAGACGGAGGCTCCAGCTGGGTTCTGGAGCAGTCTGTCGTACGATGCGTGGAGGGGGGGAGGGTCAGATTAACTCCAGAAGACATCCCAAGCACACAGAGAAGATCCTGCCCAGCCTGGGAGGAGAGCTCCCCATGCAGAAGGAGGTCCATCCTATGCAGTGAAATCCTCCACTGCAGGCACATGAACCCCCCCAAAAACAGAGAGAGATGCATGGCAGGTGTCTTGTCATCCACCAATGACTGTGCTCCACCTCCCATAAAGTTAAACAGATAAACATTTTGACCGTAAACTCGCTAAAGGCTCACGGAGACCGATCGACCCTCTACAACCAAATGAACACCTTCAACCGATGCACTCTTACAATAAGCCTCCCAGTGTTATCAACCAAATGTGTCCATGCCTATCAAGTGTCCGGGTGCCGTCAACATGACAAAGTCATTTAGACTGGCTCGAATGTGAGAGGAGACAGGCATGTCCATCAGAGGGACATGCCAGAGCAGGACACTGCACTCACTGCCAATGCGCAGCACCCCACACCCCCACCCCCCCCCCCCCCCCCCCAACGAGGTAGATGTGCTGCCAAAAAACAGCACAATTCAAATCCTTCACAATATACGTCCTCCATTAACCTTTCTCAAAGCAATAAACCCGCAAATTAAGCCCTCGTGTAAGTCTTTCATTAACGGCAATCTTAATTAATTTAATTGCGTAATGACAGACTCAGGTGCTTCTCGACGACCGAGTCCCTGGAATGCTGCCAGCAGCAGAGCCGGAAGATTCTCCCCGGCGCCTGACCTGTCATTCGGCATACGACTCTATTTCCCACGTCTCAGGGCTTGTCTTACAGCTCACGTCTATATTGTCCTTGGCTTATATTCTGTCCTAACCTTTACATCTATATTCTCGCTGTTCTGTAGCATGCCAGCCACATGCGTGACCATGGTCTTATTGTACGTTTATAGTACTATCATCTATGCTGCAAATTAATAACAATTAGCTGCATCAGAGTGTGTATGGGTCAGACCGTGGTTCAGATATGAAAGGGACAAAAGAGTCTCGGCTTCCAGTCCCCCTGCTGGATGCACCACAGTAACTCTGGCAGGCTACCGTGATGCTGACTGAACAAACCCTCATAATCAGATTATGACCACAACCACAAGCCAAGTAACAAGCAGTTGAAACATTTCAGAATTGCCACAGGAAAAAAAAGGCAGAACTCTGCTCTCTGGATGAGTTACATTTCATCCATCTTAACACGTTGTGAAATGTGGTTATATGAGAGCCGTGGTTATGTCCGCACCGGATCCCAGCATCTCTCGAGATAAACCGCCGCAGTGTCCGCACCGGATCCCAGCATCGCTCGAGATAAACCACCACCGTGTCCGCACCGCATCCCGGCATCGCTCGAGATA